CCTCCTCATCTCAAGTAGTGTGCACTTAAGTTTATTTTCTCCAAGATGAATATAAACAATAGCTCAGCATACACCCGTAAGTCCTCCTCTAGCAAGTTTAAGTTGATATGGGCCCAAGGTGAGTGTATGGAGTTAGGGCATAGATTAGTCATAATCTTATTGAATGGCAGAGCAGACTAAGGGGCTGAATGGCCTATTCCTATATTCGTAGATATTCAAGATATAATTTGGTGACTACTGCAGAGTGTCAATCCACTGCCTGGAAACCAGCAGCAATCCCGTCATAGCCAATTTTGGGAAGATCAAATGGTATTAAATCCTGATGGGGCACTGACCTTCCTGTCATTGGGCTCCTCAGTTCCACTGAGCAAATTTGTTGGTGTGAGACAGATGTCCCATTTCTGAAAACCAATGGCTGATTAGAGATGGGTAGGTCTCCGGTCCCAGAAGAAGCCCAGGCAGAGATCAGTAAGGGAGGCCATGAGGTGAGCTCAGTGACCCCACTTGTTGATGGGCCTCCGTGTGAAAGCTCCAACAAGGAGTTGGTGGAGGGGAGTTAGAGTTTAGTCAGGTACTTGTCTTCAAACCTTCGCTAGTCATTGCCTCTTGTATGTGTTTCCATTGGGTGTGGGCTGCCCAAATTGAAGGGACAAACTGCCACTCCCTCCTCCATGCCCCCTTTCCCATCCTGTCCAGGCCTCCAGCATATCTGGCAGAGTTTGCCTGTGTGTCAACACCCCTGCCAATTGTGACTTAAATACCAGCAATAATTCAATGTGGTCCTGCAGTGGAGTTGGCATCTGGGAGGGCCAAGCCAAACATGTGCCCTCCCCATCTCCAGACAGCATTCAATTCCACTCCGAATGGTTTACAATTGAGAAAAGTGCTGCAGACAATGTAATTTTTCAGGCTGGCTATGTTTGGCTAAACCCTGAGACAGGGTACTTTGAAGCTTCTACATTGTTTACATTTTCCACAAAAGTAGGAATTATACGGGCCAGAATATATCCAAAGTTGTTAGGGTGAATGAACAATGAGTGAAATTGAGTGCATCATGCAATGCTGATTGATAGCATATGCCATCATGACAGATTTGATTTAGTTTGTGGCTTGCTTTAGTATATTGCTGTACCAATATAAAACCTCAGACGAAGCTTCTCCTGTGATTATAATACAAATCCACAAATACACAAGATTCTGGGGTCCAGGATTCTAAATCTTCTCCAGAATCTGAACAGCACACAACAGATGTTAATATGCTGCCAACTGACATTTAATTTGATCTATTGTTTACAGGCTGAAATATACCACCCAGCTGTTCAATCCCAAGGTTGAGTCCTCATGTTTGAACATTGACTTTTTGGGTCACCTCTTCATTATAGAATTTGAAATTTAGTATGCTGTGTTTCTAACAGCATTGTGGAAAATTTTTAATGTTACAACAGTGACTGAGTCAGTAATTCAGAAACTTTAATTCGTTGTAAAACTGAAGTCACAAGATCATGTTATAAATGTAAGTCCGTCTGCCTTTTCTAAGTTACAATACTCTTTCCTGGTAGATGGTCACCCAAAAGAGACCATTGAGTGACTTCATCTCTTGTACATTTGAACTTCCATGTGTACCTGTTTAAATATCTGACTGAGAAATTAAATATAACTGACACAAGGTAATATAATGAGCCGCATATTGTATCCTATTAAATGTTATTGTTCAGTGTGTTTTTGTGATTTATTTATTTTATAGATGTTAAAGTTTCATGGTCTTTTATTCAGAATCAAATTTCTTGTGAATTTAATATTCCAGGTTTGTCACATGCAATTGTACGAAGATTTTACTGCTTCTTGCAGTTTAGTACTTTAGCTGCGCATGAAAATATTTACAGTGAAACAAATTTCTCGTGGGGTCCCAAACATTGGGAATGGCACCAAATCTTTGGGTAGATGCATAAAGAATGTTTCTGCCACGGATGAACATTGGACTAGGAGTCACAGATTCAGAATTAGGGCTTTCCCATTTGAGACCAAGACAGAGAGGACTTTTTTTTAATCTGAGAGTCTTCAGAATACCGTACCTCCCAGAACAATAGAGGCTGCATCACTGACAATATTCAAGGCAAGTAGACTGATGTTTAATTTACAAAGAAGTTGAGAGTTACAGTAGGGTGTCAGGCAGGAACGTGGAGTTGAGGCCATAATTAGATTAGCCATGATCTTACTGAATGGCACAGCTCTTATATCCACCCTAACATTGAAAAGGTTAGTTTCTTAGTTTTCGAACACCATTCACAGCCAGTTGTGACAGGACTGCAGTGTTGATCTGATGCTTTTGTTGTGCAAACGTATTGCTCTGTCAATGCAGTCCTGTGTTATAGCTTCACCAAGTTGTATCTCATTTCCAGGTCTACTTTGTGCTGCACCTGGTATATTTTCTTACTATCTCTTCGTTCAACCAGTAATGATCCTCCAGCTTGAGGGTGGTGAATGAGTGAGAGAGATGTCAGACCATGAGGTTACAGGTTGTGTGCAATAAAATTTTGGTGCTGCTGTTGGCTCATAGTAGTTCCGTGGATGTCCCATTTTGAGATGCTTGATCTATCCTGAATGTATTCCATTTAGAATGGAATACAGTGCTTCATAAGCTGGAGGGTGTCCTTAATTTGAAACAGAGGGCTCATTATTGCAAGGTCCTTGATGTGGTCTGTCCTACACATGCATGAGATGTGCATTTGCAGCAGGTAGATTGTTGGCCAATGTAGATCTGTCTTGAAGTGGTTCCACCACTGCTTGCCTTTAGGCCTAGTCAGGCAGGGCACAACCAGCTGAATCTTTTGTTGTGTTACACTGCCACTCAGTGATTAATATTAAATATATCTGTGCCTTTCCTATCTGAAGTGCTTCTTCCAAGCAATATTCAACATACATGAGCTACAGGAGGGAGGTGGTAATCAGCAGGAGACTTAACTTGTTGCCAAATTTCCAACTGGCATCATGTGACTTCATAGTTGACATTGAGGACTCCCAGAGATTCTATCCTGACCCTGACTGTGTGTGTGTGTGTGTGTGTGTGTGTGTGTGTGTGTGTGTGTGTGTATACGTACACCACTGTGGCAACATTACAGTAAGCTGTTTTTTTTTCTGATGAGACAAGGCAGGCCCTGGGACAGTGATAGAAGTCTGGGGTGTTGTCTGAAAATCATATTCTCAGAATAATACTTTGTTAGGTTGGTGTTTTGAGTTTGTGCAGAAATGCTCCCAATTTTGTCAGTCTGACATTTTTTCATGGTTTTTTTTTTTAAAAATGATTTGTTACAATTGAGTAGCTTTGTAGACCATTTTTGAGGGCAATTAAAAGTCTGTTAGGTTTGTTTGGGACTGATGTCACATAGATAAAACTGGCTAGGATAGCCAATGCCCTTCCTAAAAGGGCTTTGGTGAACTAGATTGTTTTTGTGTCGTGATCTTATGCTTTTGTGGCCATGATTACTGATGCTCACTCATTTCAGATATATCTAATTAACTTCATATAAGGTCCTCATCTGCCTTGGTGTTTCTCAGTATTGTAATGTCCAACACGAGATTGATTGACTGACGGTTATCCATAGAAAGGTGTATCTTAATGAAGTTTCTTAAGGGTTTTCCTAGCTGTCTGGTGATGAGATCTGCCCCTGTTGGTGCAGGGACCAAATATGCGTTCATTGTCATTAAGCTGATGTTTTAATTTGGGATAGGGGTCTGCGTCAAATTGCAGGCAATGATACATAGCCACCTATTCACTTATCAGCATACAGAGAAGATAAATATAGGAAAAAAATCACTGCACTGAGGTCACAGACCCATTTTGATGACGGAAGTAACAGTGTGGCAGACAGCATTGGGTTGAAATGAAAACTACAACTGCTTGCTTCAATTAGTAACAGTGACTTTCATTACTTGGAGTCTCTGAATGCTAATGTGATTACTACAGGATTGCAAATACCTTCAGGCGATGTGTTTAAATTGACAGGATTTAACTTGTCATTTGAGCTGATTTTTTTTTACTTAAAAAATATAGATCACAATAACTAAAATGAGATGTTATTACAGCAATAATCTTTGTGATCTTACTTGGAAGGTTAAGCAAGGTGAATAAGATTCCTTGGCACTGTCAGATTCTCTTAATTATTCCCACTTCATTTTTATCTCGTGGAGTGGGGAAGAAGAAGCTGGCCAGTCTCAAAATGTTAATTTCTAAGTAGAAGCAGCTACCTTTTGTAGGAAGATTTCATAATGTTAATAAATGCATTTTTCCAAAGATTTGCTTTGATATAATTGTTTGTTTCCCTGAACAATCTGTTGTGCCTCTGAGTGGAAAGTTACACTGTAAATTATTTAAATAAAAACCCTCATCCATTCTCCACATTTGACAGTTGTAAATATTGTCAAATATTTACGGTTGTCTTGAGGAAAGGCATTGCTGGTCAGTGGTTCACAGGCAGGTACAGTTTAATGTTCTTAATAACAATGTTCTTTGTGACTTTGCAAATAAAACAGTGAAGGTTTTGACTCCCAAGATGTAGCATCATCTCTCTTATAACAATTTTTAAGCATTTGTATCGAAGGATTGTAATTATCTGTGGCATGGAATGAATTTTGTGCGGGGAGAAAAGCCTTGTGTGATGGCTTTATGAAGCAAATGGCTGCTGATTAAATCCAAAAATGATAGATATTAGCTTTCAGTTAATTTGGGATCATCTAGTCAGGCACAGACTAATACAAATATTTTCTGGTGAAGGGAACATGGTAGCTTTCGTCTTTTGGATTGATGCTTCAACCAGGAATGTGGCCTTTGTGGATGTTACGCTGGAGGAATGTTAGCCAGTCAAACTGCGGCTTTAACCTTTGATTTGTCATTCACCTTCTCAGATTTTGATATTAATAGAGTTTTTTTTAGTTGTTTTGCTTAACCTGTAGCCAGTGTTTTGCTTTTTTTAAAAAAGCTCTTTTCTTTGTGTTTTGTGCAGAGAAACTCTACAATTCTTGTGGCCGGGAGCTGAGAAGAGCCCTGTTTTCACTCAAGCAGATCTTCCAGGTTGGTACTGATGGTTGCCTCACTTTCTTGAAAAAAAAAATGTGCTTTATTTCCCACTTTGTGGTCAGTTGTCACCCTGAGACGTTTAGAAGTGAAAATCTCAAATTCAGTCTCTGGTTCCTGTGAATTTGACTGGTCTGCGTGCAGGCAACATTCTTATTAATTTCACCACTAAATTAACAAAGAGATGAATTGGCCAAGGTTCCTTTCTCCTTCCTTCCTTCTTCTTCTTGCTATCTCATGGCTGTAAATGGAAAATGCATGTGGCTGGATGCCTGGTCAGAGCAGCACGAGGCTTTGGTTGTGAATCTGCCTGTTGGTGTTTGATGCTTAGGCCTGCATGCAATGATTACAATTTTGATCAAATCCAGAACATTATCACTGCCTGTGCAGCTCTATGAGAGAAAGAGTTCATGTCTTTAGGACGGGGGAAAAAAGTTGTCAGTGGGGTGACTTGGAAAGAGAGGAGGAGAGTCTGAACGTCTGGCATATGACTAATTTCATAAAGATACAAAGACCAGACTAATAAAGCAAGACAACTTACAAGGAACCGTATCAAGATGAGTTAAATTATAGTGTATCTCTAGGGCTTTTAATGTAGGCTATGTGCCAGCAAAATGAAAGTTACTTGTTGATGTGCCAAAATGAAAGAGCAATTATGCAGGAAGTATTGGTATCGTATAATTAAGAGCTGAGTGACATTGTGATTAGCGGATAAGAAAGTGTACACAGCTGAAGTGAGTGATGACCTTGAAAGAAAGGATATTACACCCAGGAGCAGGCTCTGCTTTAGTTCCAAACAGGGACTGTCTAACCTCAAAATTAGTGTACCTACTATTCTAGAATGTGACTTCTTTCCTAAACTTTGAGTCTCCATGTTTAGTGATTTCATTTCATTTTCTACCATCGATCTTGTTGTACATGACTGGAGATGGTGGTGTCATGATAATATCCAATGGACTTGCAATCCAGAGACCCAAGCTAATACTGTAGGGACGTGGGTTCAAATGTCATCCGTTAATAATTGGGGAGCATAAAAACTAGCCTCGGTAATGGTGGCCACTGTTGGAAAAGCCCATTGGATTCATTAATATCCTTTTTTTAAAGGAAGAAAGTCTGCCAGCCTTATCTGATCTGGTGAACATGCCTCAGTCCCACAGAGATGTGTTTGATTGTTAACTGCCCTCTGAAATAGTATGGAAAGCTATTTAGTTCAAGGGCATTTAGGAGTGAGCAACAAATGCTGGTCCTGCTTCCCCCCACCCCCCATGAAAGAATAAAGAAAACATTGACCCCTGATCTGAGCTACTCAGCATGACAGCCCCTAGCAGATGAGATTAGCCTGAATGCTGATGACGGCAATTGCATTTGGCCCATCTTCATTCAAAGACTGTGTAATATACGAGCTACTATTCTGTGCCAGCTTTGCCTTTAAACATAAAAACAGTGGGATTGACACACACAGTTGATGAGTGGAAATTCTTTCCTAGCTGCAATCCATTCATGCTTCAATTGCTGCATGTAATATTCACTTTGAATAACCCTGCTATTTTCAGCTCTAGTTTGCATGCTACAAACTGGCTGACATGTATTTGTGCCCACAAGATGTTCTTGATGTAAATGTTTTAACAGTTGCTACCTTCATTCATGTTTTACCTTTCAGAACTTTGTTGTGCCAGCCTTTCTGTAATGGTTGGATGAAAACAAGAGTTTTCAGCTAGGGGGAGGTAACGGCCTAGTGGTATTATCGCTGGACTGTTAATCCAGAAACCCGGATAACATTCTGGGGACCTGGGTTTGAATCCTACCATGACAGATGGTGGAATTTGAATTCAATAAATACGGGAATTAAGAATCGAATGATGACCATGAATCCAATGAGGTCGACTCTTAAAAACTGCCCTCAGGCCAATTATTGGTGGGCAATAAATGCTGCCGAGCAGCAATGCCCTCATCCTGTGAATGAATAAAGGGATAAAAAAATTCCTTGATTTCATGTCAGCCTATCTCCATAACATTCAATTAGAGAATAACTTTTCAAGTGAGTGCCCTTTTCGAGGGATCAGACAGATGCAGAAATTTAAAATAAAAGGACAAATCGAAAGAAATGAGTATTTAAGATTTTTCTTTTGGTTAAGAATTTTAATTATTGAGCAAAATACAGGTGTTTGAAGCAGTAGCAAAGCTTGTGCTGCTGACCCAATGGCATGAGGGGAAAAATATACAATGATATAGAATTTTGTTTGAGCTACAAATCATGAGACGATTACTGTTCATCTACTGCGGAATGACTTGTTGAGGTTGCTTTTAGTAAAATTGCTGTAATCTCTGTTGAAGGTAATTGTTCCATTAAAGTCTTTCCAAGCACGGTTTGGAAAGGTGGTTTTTTTTTTAATTGGTTGACTGTCTGAAAAATGGTTGATTCTACTTGATCATGGAAGAGCAGCAATAAAATGCAAACCAGTGTATCTGTAGCATGTGTTTACATTGATACTGTTTATACTCAGTCTCTGAATAGCCCAGCACTAATCTTCTCTGGGCTTCCATCTACTAAAGGTTTCTCCTCTTGAGGTCATGTAGATAGCCTACTACTCGCATCTCTGTGTAGGGACTATCTCATGCAACATGGAAGGGTGTGACTGGGGTTGGCAGAGAGAACTGTGATGAAGCCAATGACTTTCGATCAAAACATATTCGCGATCCTAAAGATTGAGCATTAGGATTTGGGCAACAATGTGAAAAGATGTTCCACGACAGCCTATGAACTGTTTCCTGTGCCACGCTAGACAGGTTCAAGAGAGGAGGTAAAGGAATTGGATTTATGTAACTCCTTCCTCGGTGAAGGACCTCCTCAAAGTGCTTTACAGCCCTTTTTTGAAGTATTGTAATGCATAAATCAATTTTCATTTTGCAAGCTCCCTCGAACAGCAAGAAGATGTTTTTGTTGTGATTTTGGATGGAAATTGACTGTCTAGTTACAAGGCAGTACAGAATGTAAGGTATACATACTTGAGACATTGAAGTAGATAAAGGAACAAGGGAAAAATGGGCCAAATGGAGTATATTGAATTGCTACTGATGTACAGGTGCAGAGGACAGTAAGAGAAGTGGAGGAGATGCGATGGAGGTGGTGATCAAATTCTAAATAAAAACGTAAAGAACTGCAGATGTTGGAAATCGGAAACAAAAAGAGAATTTGCTGGAAGAGTTCAGCAGGTCTGAACAAAAGATAAACACTTTTTGGAAAAGCATTGGTGCTAGTAAAAGAAATATTGATTTTCATGGATTCATACAGTACAGAAAAGGCCCTTTGGCCCATCAAGTCTACACCGACATAACTACCACTTATGGTGCGCTAATCCCAATTTCCTGCACTCGTTCCATATCCTTGAATGTTATGATATTTGAAGCTCCCATCCAAATACCAAGGACCTGTTGAGCTTTTCCAGCAACTTCTGTTTTTGTCCCTCAATTCCAGGTGTTTTAACCTTCTCAATTAGCCTCCCATGTGGGACTTTGAGAAAACATCGCTAAAATCATATAAAAGGAAACCAACTGAGCTTCCCTCATCCCCACACTTGATCACATTTTCAAAAAAGTCTAACAGATTTGTTTGGTATGACCACCTTCTGACAAAGTCATGCTGACAATCCCTAATTAACCCATGCCTTTCCAAGTGGGTATTAATCTGCTTCTTCAGAATTTTCTCTGATAGTTTCCCTACCACTGATGTGAGACTCACCAGTCTGTAACTTCCTAGTTCAGCTCTGCCACCCCTCTTTTAAAAAGAGGAGCCACATTAGCCATCCTCCAGTCCTCTGACATTTCCCCTGTGGCCAGAGAGGAATTAAAAATTTGTGTTGGAACCCCTGCAATTTCTTGCCTCGCCTCCCACAGCAGCCTGGGATACAGTTCCTCCGGGCCAGGGTATTTGTCTGTTTTTAAGCCTAGCAGAGCCTCCAATACCCCCCCATTTCCTACATAAAACTGTGCAAGTTGCTCATAGTCCCTTTTCCTGCATTCTGTACCGATGTTCTCCTTTTTCCAGAGCAAAGAAAAGAGAAGTATTCATTACCTGTCCAATATCCTGTGGCTTCACACAGGTTGCCCCTTTGGTCCCTAGTGGTAATGTAGGAATGCCCTTGAGACTGACATAGTTGAGAGAATGGGAGAATGAGTGCTCCAGTCAGTTGAGAAGTTATGTATTTTGAACAAATAGAAAGGGCAATGACATAAGGGAATTTCTATTATTTCCAGAATTCACTGTGTTAAGGTAATGCATGTGGCCAAAGGGAATAATGGATTTTGAGATGAACAGATGACTGATGATGTTCGTACTTCAATGGGTGTGTATGTACCAGGTGAACACAATGTTTTTTGTATCATAGAAATGCAAAAGGGAGAGAGCAGGATGCTCCAGGTAAAGGAAAGGGACTGATTATGGAGAATAAGAACATAAGAACATAATAACTAGGAGCAGGAGTAAGCCATCCGGCCCCTCGAGCCTGCCCCGCCATTTAATAAGATCATGGCTGATATTTTTGAGACTCGGCTCTACTTACTCGCCCGCACGCCATAACCCTTAATTCCTTTACTGTTCAAAAATTTATCTAGCCTTGCCTTAAAAACATTCAGCGAGGTAGCTTCAACTGCTTCACTGGGCAGGGAATTCCACAGATTCACAACCCTTTTGGTGAAGAAGTTCCTCCTGACCTCAGTCCTACATCTGCTTCCCTTTATTTTGAGGCTATGGCCCCTAGTCCTAGTTTCACCTGTTAGCGGAAACAACCTCCCTGCTTTCACCTTATCTGTTCCCTTCATAATCTTATGTTTCTATAAGATCTCCTCTCATTCTTCTGAATTCCAATGAGTATAATCCCAGCCTACTCAGTCTCTCCTCGTAATCCAACCCTCTCAACTCTGGAATCAACCGATTGAATCTCCTCTGCACCCCGTCCTGTGCTAGTATATCCCTTCTCCAGTAAGGAGACCAAGACTGC